TGTAGGGGCAGGGGCATCAGGTACAGGTACTGCTTTCACCTCCTTGCTTCCACTGGCAGCAGAAGCCTCATGGCTGCTTGGGAAAAGGATGCATCTATGTTTGAGGGGGAGGAACTTGCACCTCTAGTTCTCCTCCTACTGCTTCTCCCACCCGTACCAGAAGCCCTTGCACCTGCCTTTCCAGCACACTTTATATTAATCTTCCTGTGCTGCAAAAGGGGGTGTGTGTGTGTGTGTGTGTGTGTGTGTGTGTGTGTGTGACTCCTTTTGTGTCGTGTGTTTTCTTTCCTCTGTGTTGCATGCACTGGACTCTTCTTTGATTGATTAGGTTTGATTGATTAATGATTATTAAGAACTATGTAAAAATATGTGCTGTCTGTCTGTCTTCTTCTGTGCTGTGATGTATTTATTTACTATGAATTACAAATGTGAAGCGTGACTCCTTTTGTGTTGTGTGTTTATTTCCTGTGTTGTGTGCACTGGACTCTGCTTTGATTATTAATAACTATATACGGTGTCGTCTTCTTTGATATACTATTAATGTGAATGTGTGACTACTACTGTACTTCTTGTTCTTCTTCTGTGTTGTAATGTGTACCTAAAATAATATATCTCCTTCTTCTAGGACTCTGAGTTCTGTGTTGTATGTGTTAATCTCAATCTGAATCTCTATCTGACTTCTGTGTTGTCTTTAGTCTGTATGTAAACTAACTATAATAATATTAATAACTAGTAACTATATCTAATCTGCTTCTGAATCTCTTCTTCTATGAATATCTGACTTCTTCTATGATATGTGAGTGTGTATAACGTGTGCTTCCCTGCACAATGATGGATCACACTGCCAGGGAAACGCAGCTTTCTTTTTTAAAAGTATTCCAAAAAAAAAAAGAGAACAAATATAAATTGAAAGAAATTAATTGGACAGTAAAGTAGAGAGATGCTCAACTAAGCTAAACTAAGGTATATCCTATCCAATCCTTTCTAACAACAAAAAGTAGCCAGCTGCTGACTAGTAAGCCGACCAGTAGCCACAGTACCTTTTAGACGCTGTTGCTCAGGCAGAAACAGCTCAGGAAAGGGACAGAAAAGCCTGCACACAGAGACTTTTATGCTGTTTCTATGTCCCTTCCCAAGGCACTGTGATTGGAACAGCAGTCAGGGAGAAATCACAGTCACTGGCCAGCTAGAGATGTCAGTCCTTCCTTCCCTGCTCCCCATCCCCTCCCTGGTCCACCTTCTTCTCCTAAGTTTCTGGTTCCACATAAAGCCCTCCTTCTGAATTGCCGAATCTCTTCTGAATCTTTTCTAAATTGATTTGGAGGCTTTGAATCGATTCAGAAAGTTTTAAGCTTCTAGCGATTTGATTCGGATTTGGAGATTCAGCCTCTGAATTGGGCTGAATCTTCACCAAATCAAATCGTGAACCAAAGCTTTGCACAGCCTTAGTGCCAGGCACTCTGAGTTCCATTCTCCATATTGCTACATTGACTTTGTGAATTAGCAAATCCCTTGACAGCTCCACTGCAGCTACCTCATGGTGTACTGTGATATCTAATTAATGTTTATGAAGCCCAAATCAGGGCAAGTGCACAGATTACACCCATCAACCTTCCATGTATGACAGCTCTTCCAGGCTTTGTGTCACTTAAGCTGTTCTTCTCAGAAATTCCTCTAGTTTATGCCTGTGCTTCTTTTCCCTCCAGCTTATGCCAGGCCAACTGAACTGATGCAGTGCTCACCATTACCAACCAAAACAAACATTTCCTTGCAGCTGGAATGTGAATAGGCAGGCTGGGGTATTAGCACCTGAAAGGCTATGTTGCAAGACTGTAATCCTCATGGCACAAATGTCCTGTGGCTTCTGTCACTTCTTCACACTGCTGCACAATCATTAACTAGAAAAGGAGACTAATCAAATCACAGATACCACTTTTAGGGTAATATCAGTGAAACTGATATGTGTCATGGCATGGACATTTCATGGAATCCATGAAAGCACTCCCTGGACATTTGTTCCAAACCAGATCTCCCCTCCTTTCAGACTCTTTTGTAATTCAGCAGATGCCTTCCTCTGTATTTGCACAGTGTCAGTGACATTTCAGACAGTCTTTACTTTGGCATGGGCTTACAAGCCCCTACCATGCTGGCATCCTGCTGGCGGCCAAGAACAGATGCAAAGAAGGACATATTCATGCACAGAGCCTTCGAAGAGCTTATTTGGCCTCTCTCCTATTCTTGGGGATCAATCTTAGCATGTCTCTTTAGTAGGTTGGACCACTCTGGCTTCATCCAGCTGTTTAATAGCACCTATGATAATGAAACTCTGTCAGTACTGATTATGTGTTTGGCTGTAACTGGGACAGGACCAAAATAGCTCCTTCGTCCCTGATGAACAAGCACACACTTCCCTGGGGACTGGAAGATTTTGCAGGTTAGTGGGAAGGAGAGAATTCATTTAACAATATCTTCCTGCTTCCTTGCCTTATAAGGCTGCTGTGGCTTAAGAGGTCTTTCCTGTGGGAAGGTCAGGCTGAAGGAGTGCCACTCTGGTACAGGGTCAAGTGCCTGTGAATCACTCAGATAACGAGTACCATAAAAAGATGAGGTGGTATATTAAACAATATAGAAACACATTTAAGATTGATTTGTCTTAGAGCAGATAATGATCATTAGCCATGTTAGACTGAAGTCAGGCAGAAGGCAGGGTAGAGGTGTACTTTACAGACTAACAGAATCAGAGCATATAAGGTTTTACGAGCCACAGCTGGGGCCCAGATAGAGGTACCCAGTGGAACCTCTGTTAGCCTTCAAAATTTATCATAGATCACATGTACCCTTATTCATCACATTTTGAATTGAGCAGCGCAAGGCACAGTGTGAGCTGTGGACCTTGGCCTTGCAGACCACTAGTAATTCTTGGATTATAGTTCTGAAGCCACCAGTCTCACTTATAGAAATAGGGTGTCTAAATACTCCGGAGGATTTGGCCTTAGGAACCGTTGAGGCAGTCACTGCCATAAAAGTAAACTATCAGCCTCTGCAGCCAGAAATCAGATGGGAAAATCAAAATTCTAGTGGCAAGCAAATACAGTCATGTCCATACCTTGCTTAGGACTTCCTGGAGCGCCTCTTATAGCCTTGACAAAGAGATTGCCAGTTGGCACAGCTGCAGATGGATTGTTTTTTCACATGGATTTTACACTTGATAATTGATAACATAATTTAGGAGTCAGAGCTAGCTTAATAGGTTTGTTCTCACAGTGGGTACTGTCTGTGTGGACAAAGTATCCTCCTCTTATACAATTGGTCTATCATTGATTTCATATGCAGGCTGCATAGGAAAGTGAGAGACAGCATCCTGCTGCCTCATTATTACCTGTGTTCTGATTGCAATAGAATCAGCCATTACTTTAACTTGCCTTGTTCTCTTTGAAAGGAAGCTGTTATAAAGACACTTTGCGCACAGTTTGCATTTGAAATAGTGGCTGCAGTGCCATGTGCAGAAACAACATGTAAGTGCTCTGCTCACACAAGCTCCAGTAAAGTATTTATGGGGATGGAATTTGTGAGGCAAACACAGCATTAGACTTCTCACAAATTGGCCTCACCTTTACTGGTGAATGGGGTCCTACTGATCTCTAGTCTGCATGCAGAGCAGCATCTGTTGTTTTTCATTTGTATCTTATTGACAGGGGATGTTATGGAGGAACTTTTCAAAAATGCCTAAGAGGGTTAGGAGCAGAAGTCCCACTGATTTTCAATGGTAATTTTGCCCTTAAATCCCTGAGGTAATGTTAGCCCTCCCCTTGTTTTACACCTACCCTTTGCCATTGGCTTCCCCATACCCTGGATTGCACTGGATGACAATTGTACCCACTGAAAGTTAAAGTTTTCTCCTGCACTGAACAGAAGCCCTGAGTACCACTGAAATCCTTGGGTTTTAGGTTTCCAAAAGATGGGTTGCTGTGAAGCTTAACATTTTGATGTCACTAGTAGAAGGGGCTAGAGAAATATCTAAGACCCTTGGCACACATTACATTTGTGGTACAATGAATGTGTCAATCGTGCCATAAATAGTACAATACTATGTATGCAGCTGACTTATGGTGCCATAAACTGGTAAACCAGCCACAAAGATGTGGAATATCTTGAGGGCTCATTCATATGGCACTGTAAATCAAACATGTAGCATGTCCATGCCAATCCTGATTGTTAGCCCCAGACAGCCCCAGTTCCAGTGTCAGAAATGAGCTGCTGGGAGACTGGGTTGCAAGTAGCTCTCTCTTCTGGGAACTTGGCAAACCCCACACCAAGCAGCCTTCTCTGCCTTACCCTGCAGCACTCTCAGGAAAGCACTTGAAAATGCTGAGTCACGGGGGGTCCTGGGGGTCCCTGTTATCTGGCTGGTTGACTGTCATGCCCCGCAGGGCAGGTGCACATGCAGTTTTCAAAGGTTCTAGCAGGAGAGCCTGTGTGTTTGCAACTACCGCGGAGGGGAGGGGGTGGAAGTGCCCTAATCTCCCTGCTGGTGTAGCCCAATTAGAACCCTGATTCCAACAACCACATGCCTCCTGTCATAGATGTGTGGCATGGCAGGAGGTACGATTGTTGGGATTGGCGATCAGAGCCCATCATGCCATTAAGTAAATGTGTGCCAGCATCTTACTATTTTTCAGTTCTGAAATAGCTTTCCAGTTTCACTTTTTTCTCCAGGGCCAGGAGAGCTAGGTACTTTCCCCACATACCTGTGCCCAGCTCAATTTACAAACTGTGAAACAGTAGGATTTGCAAAGGAACAGGATCTCTACTGCTCTGCAGTGTAGGACCTGGACACCAGCTCAGTAATGCACTTGAGACCCACTAAAGTTACTAAGATTTAGACAGCTGGGATGACCATGTGTTTATCACAGAAGTTGCCAGTTGCATTGCTGTTCTCCCATAGAGAAGTTCCCCTTCTCTGGCCACAGGGATGATATTTTCCTGTGTCCTGCTTGCAGGAGTATGAAAGGTCCTCAAAGATGGAGCAGTTTGTGAGCCGCTTCCTGCTGCGGGAGACCATGAACCAACTACAGTCCCTACAAACCTCACTGGAGTGTGCTTCGGACTCTATTGAAGAGCAGGCTGGGAGAGAGAGGTAACGCTGGTATAGCTGGGGCAAAGGGACCTGCTGACTAAAGGAGCAGCCACCTGAGGGATCAACAACTGTATGTGACCATGCTGGTAGGCCTTCTCAACTACAACTCCCTCCATAAGCTTCCTCCAGAAGGACATATCTCTGTCACATATGCTTGGGGTACAGCCTCTCTAACTGTATGGTAAGGGGGTGGCCAGCTTTCCCTGTGCAATGCATTTGGGACCCATTTGTTTCCAGTTTGTTCCCAACATAGCCTTGGCTCTTGATCTCACAGAAGAGTGCAGCTACAGCACTGCAACCTGCCGATAGGCCATTCACACAGCAGCTCTGCAGAACTATTTGTGCAGGGAGTGCTAGAGTAAGTCCCATTCCTGCATGGTGCTGCCCATTCTGCTTCTCCTGGGCTTCACATCCAGCTTTGTGACTTGCTTTGACACATCAGTTACTAGCAAATAGTCTTGTTCCTAGAGGGAAAAGGAAATGATAGGCTGGAAGCATTTGGAGATTCACTTGCCACCATCATGTGCTAATCTCTGAACTAGATCCCTTGTTAGCTAATGCACTTACTGGGGCACACACTGCCCCAAACAGACCATTGATAAAGAGCCCAGGTTCTGCTCCCACTGTCTGTTTCAACCCTTCAGGTGCTTTACTTGCTTAAACAAGCATGGAGTAAGACAGAGCCTGAGCACACATAACATTGGGAGTGCTCAGCACCAATTCCAATCAGCTCAGCCACTCACGGGTAACCAAGGTGGGCCAGATAAGCCATTTTCTTGTTTCTTATTCAATACTGATGCACAAATTAGTGCATTCCCAGAAGTAAGTGAGACTTTCTCAATATTTTGGGGAACTTTGAGCAACACACACGGCAGTGTTTGGGACTCAAGCTTTTTCTGTATGGCCAGAAAGAGCTGATTTTATAGATGCCTTTTCTAGATTTTCAACCTGCCTTTTGGTCTCTCAATTTCAGTAACGTGGGGATTTCCTCAGCTCTGTGTCTGGTTTCTGCATCCCTGCTTGCTTAGAAGTGACAGAGAATGCACAGAATGGCATTAACTAATGGACCAGATTGAGTTAGAACAGGGGTGGGCAATTATTTTGGGTGGAGCGCCATTTACCGAGTTTTGGCAAGCTGTTGAGAGCCGTGCCCTGCCCCCTAGTCGCCATCTTGGGGCCAGAAATCACATTCTCTAACCCCTGACGTTTGCCACCAAAAGTCCCTCCCCTTGCCCCTAGAATAATTCCTGTCAGCAAGGGTTTTTGCTATCTCAGAACCAAAAAAATACCAAATAATATTCTAAAAATCAAACATCTACAACATACATTAATTTGATTTCAGAAAATATTTTTGTCCTGATTTACATGTGTTTGTGTGGTGTACATAGAGGTGATTGCACAATAGCTTAAAGTCTTACGCTTGTATATTGTGGGGGGTGGGAGGCATGGGTTTGTGGAGGGCTGTTAGTGTATGGGTATGTGGGGCAGGGTGTGGGGGGTAAGTGTGGGATGAGGGAGCATGTGGGTATGTGTGGATATGTGGGGTGTGGATCGCTATGGAGTTTGTGGGGGGCTGTGTGTGGGGGAGGGTGGCTGGAGTGCGTGAGGGGTGTGGATGTGGAGGTCTGCGTGTATGATAGTGTGCGTGGGGGTGCATGTATATGGTGGCGTGTGCATCTGGGACTCACCCTATGAACACACACACATGCAAGTGCTG